TAAATGACATGTTATACCAGATGGACTTAGCAGACATAGAATATCTCATCAAAAAATCAGCAGAATACACATTCTTTTCAAGAACACATGGAAAATTCCCCAGGATAAATCGTATGTTAGGCCACAAAATGTCTCAGTCAACTTAAGAAAATTGAAATCATATCAAGCATCTTTCCTGACTGCACTATGAGACTACAAATCAACTACAAGAAAACAACTGCAAAACCCCACACAAAGATGTGGAGGTCAAACAAATGCTAAACAATCAATGGTCACTGAAGAAACAAAAATATACCTACAGACAAGTGAGAACAAAAATACAATGATGCAAAATTTATGGGATGCAGCTAAAGCAGTACTAAGAGGCAATTATATATAAGCCTACCTCAGGAAACAAGAAAAATCTCAAATAAACAATCTAACCTTACACATAAAGGAACTAGAAAAAAGAAAATTAGACAAAATCCAAAGTTAGCAGAAAGAAAGAAATCCTAAAGATTAGAGCAGTAATGAGTGAAGTAGAGACTAAAAAACAAAAAATAGAGAAGACTAACAAAACTAAACGCTGTTTCATTGAAAAGATAAACTAAATTGATAGACCTTTACCTGGATTCATCAAGAAAAAAAGAACAAAGAAAGAAATGAAAGAGGAGAAATGACAACCAACACCACAGAAACATAAAAAATTATGAGAGAATATTATGAACTACATGCCAACAAACGGGACAACTTAGAAGAAATGGACAAGTTTCTAGAAACACACAGCCCACCAAAAGTAAATCAAAAATAAACAGATAATTTGAACAGACTGATCACTAGAACTAAAATAGAATCAGTAATTAAAAAAAAAACAAACAAACCAAAAAACCTCCCTGCAAACAAAAGTCCAGGATCAGATGGCTTCACTGGGGAATTCTACCAAATATGCAAAGAAGAGCTTATACCAATCATTCTCAAACTCTTCCAAAAGACTGAGGAGGAGGGAACACTCCCAAAATCATTCTATGAAGTCACCATTACCCTGACACCAAAACCATACAAAGACATTACCTAAAAAGAAAATTACAGGCCACTATCTTTGATGATAGTTGCAAAAATCCTCAACAAAATATTAGCAAACCAAATCCAACAACACATAAGAAGGATCATATACCATGATGAAGTTGGATTCATCCCAGGTCTCAAGGATGGTTAGTTCAACATGTGCAAATCAATCAGTGTAATATACCACATCAACCAAAGGAAAGACAAAAACCACACGGTCATCTCAATAGATGCAGAAAAAGCATTCAATAAAGTTCAACATCCATTCATGAAAAAATTCTCACCAAAGTGGACATAGAGGAAACATGAATCAGCATAATAAAAAGCTCTTTATGGCAAATCTACAGCCAACATAGTACAACAGTGAAAAGCTGAAGTCTTCCCATTAAATTCTGGAACAAGACAAGGTTGCCCACTCTCACCGTTTCTATTCAGCATAATACTGGAAGTCTTATTCACAGCAGTCAGACAAGAAAAAGAAATAAAAGTATCTAAATTGGAAGGATAGAGGTAAAATTGTCATTATATGCAGATGACATGATCTATATAGAAAATCCTAAAGACTACATCAAAAAACTATTAGAACTGATAAATGAATTCAGCAAATTTGCAGGATGCAAGATTTACATACAGAAATCTGTTGCATTTCTTTACACTAACAATGTAATATCAGAAAGAGAAAGTAAAAAAAAATCCCTTTTAAAATTGCATCCAAAAAAAAAATCTTAGGAATAAATCTGACCAAGGAGATGAAAAACTTATACAATGAGAATGATAAACACTGATAAAGGGAATTTAAGATGATCCAAAGAAATGGAAAACTATCCCATGCTCTTGAATTGGAAGAATTAATATTGCTATAATAGCCATAATACTACCCAAAGTAATTTACAAATTTAAAGCAATCCCTATCAAATTACCCAGGACATTTTTCACAGAATTAGAACAAATAATCCTAAAATTTACATTGAATGATAAAAGATCTAGAATTGTCAAAGCAATCCTGAGGGAAAAGAACGAAGCTGGAGGCATAACCTTCCCAGACTTTAGACAATACTACAAAACTACAGTGATCAAAACAGCATGGTATTGGCACAAAAACAGACATGTGTCAATGGAACGGAATAGAGAGCCCAGAAATAAACTGACACACCTTCAGTCAATAATCTGCAATGAAGGAGGCAACAACATGCAATGGAGAAAAGACAGTCTCTTCAGCAAGTGGTGCTGGGAAGCCTGGCCAGCTACATGTAAATCTATGAAGTTAGAACACTCCCTCACACCATACACAAAAATAAACTCAAAATGGCTAAAGACTTTTTTTTAACATTATTTATTGATTTATAAT